AGAGAGAGAGAGAGAGAGAGAGAGAGAGAGAGAGAGAGAGAGAGAGAGAGAGAGAGAGCTTGTCAGGTAGATAGATGCAGTGGTAAGGTTGATGCCAATTTCAATCAACAATTTGTACGCTCTTAGATTGGTTTGGACGAGTGTAGCGGCTAAGCTGTACCCTGTTGGCGTTCGTGAAACGTTCCTTTTTTTTCGCGTGGACTGTGCTCTGAGGTGATGTGGCTTGTAACAATTGCGATAGTTTTTATCACGTGAGAGAGAGAGAGAGAGAGAGAGAGAGAGAGAGAGAGAGAGAGAGAGAGAGAGAGAGAGAGATGTGTTGGCTCCTTTATGACAGTCGGGAAAGAAGAGGCGATGTCGACGACTTCTTTCCCGCTTGCGTGGGCAATAGTTCCCAGTTTGTGATTTGACAAAACAAACATGGTCCGGTTTGCGTTTCTGCAATGGGCAGAGGATTGTAAGATTCGATCGTTCCCAGTTTGTGATTTGACTGAAGCTCCTTTGTGCAATGGGCAGAGGATTGTAAGATTCGATCGTGTCGGTTCGATTGAAGGCTTTCTGGTCTTCAGTAGAGATACTGTCTCTTATACACATCTAGATGTGTATAAGAGACAGCTTGTATTGCTACTAAGGATCACAGAGACAGATCTTGGTCCCATCATCTTCCCTGCCCGCGGGATTTCGCTATTCCCCTCCCGATCCGGCGGCCGAGGAGGAACGCGCGCAGGCATCCGCCGATCATCGCCGATTGCGCGCGGAGAGGCGGCGACGAGTTGCGCGGCGGGAGTGAGCCACGGGTTGAAGGAGGGAGAGGGGAGAGAAGCAAAGGAGGCGGCGGAGATGGCGGAGACGATGCCAACAGAGCTGAAGGTCCCGCTGAGCGCCGTTGCTGGGGCGCCGTCTGAAGCCCTGACGAGCTATGTTGTGATAGAGGAGAGAGATGGAGGAGGTGGTGCGGGTGATTTGCACGACGGCTTGAGCTTTCCGCAGTACATGTTGGCAGGTTCCTTTGCGGGATTAGTTGAACATACGGCGATGTTTCCCGTCGACACGATCAAAACCAGGATGCAAGCGTTGGTGGGCCGGGCCAACGCCATGAGCCCTCATCACGACACGACGGTTTTGAAGGCCGTGTCGTCGATCCTGCGCTCAGAGGGCCCCTTAGGTCTCTATCGGGGTATCGGCGCGATGTGCTTGGGCGCAGGACCCGCGCATGCCGTGTACTTCGCGACGTACGAGTTTGCCAAGCAGGAACTGGGCGGCAATCGGAGCGGCCATCACCCTGTCGCCCATGCGACGGCGGGGGCGTTGGCGACGGTGGCCAGCGACGCCGTCTTCACGCCGATGGACGTTGTCAAGCAAAGAATGCAGTTGAGGAATAGCCCTTATCGAGGGGTAATGGATACGGTGAGGAGGATCGCAGGGGAAGAAGGGTTAGGAGCTTTCTACGCGTCGTATAGGACGACTTTGGTGATGAATGTGCCTTTCACGGCCGTTCATTTCGCGACATACGAAGGCGCCAAGAGAATCTTGCGTGATACGGGATTAGGACACGTGGGCGGGGGGGGGGAGAAGGGGGAGGAGGGGGAGGGGGGGGAGGAGAACCTCTCCACGCATCTGACGGCGGGGGGCGCAGCTGGCGCTCTCGCCAGCGCCGTCACTAATCCCCTTGATGTGATCAAGACGCGCTTACAGACGCAAGGGGTCAACGGCGCGCAGCGCTTTAGCAGCGGATCCGTCGTCGCCGCCATGAGAACTATTGTGAGAGAGGAGGGCTTGAGTGCTCTCGCAAGAGGCACAAGGCCTAGGGTCCTCTTTCACACTCCTGCTGCGGCGATCTGTTGGGCGACTTATGAAGCGTCCAAGAAGTTTCTTCAGCGTTGGAACGACGACCACCCCCAATAATACCGAGCGAGTCCTCCCCCCGCCCTTGTTCCTGGGACCTCCCCTCTTCGTTTACCCTGCCTGTTTCTCAACGTGCTCCCTCCCTCCCTCCTCCTCTCCCTCCCTTTTTTTCCTCCTGTCTCCCTCTCTCCCTCTCTCCCTTCTCCCTCTCTCCCGTTCAGCAATCCCAGCTTGTGGCCCGTTTGCCGCGCCATCCCAGCCCTTGCCCTTGTTTTGTATTTGCTTTCGAAGTCTAATTAGCGATTTTTACGATTTGTGTATGCTAGGTGCTAGGGGGGGGTTTCTCACGTGGACGCGGAAGGAAGAAACCCTTTTGTTCTCTCCTGCTTCCTCCTGATCCCAATCAGTCATCAGATGTGTTGATAGCTTATATAGGCTTCCTCCTGATTCCAATCAGTCAGATAGATGTGTGGTGACGGCAGATCTTGTCCTCCATCGCACTACTAGGAACATTCTGAAGAGCTGCGGTCATTCTGCCCTCCTCGAAGCCACTCGTGTTGCTGTCCCAAGAGACAGAAAGGGGCTGAAGGGAGGGAAAGGGGGGGAGAAGGAGGGGGGGAAGGGGGGGGGGGGTGTGGGGGGATTAGTGGGTGTTTCACGCGCCTCCCTTGGGAAGGGGAGGAGGGAGGAGACGAGGGAGGGGGAGTTGTAGGGGGCTGCTGGGAGGTGTGTACCTCGTTCGTGCGCCGCGAGAGAGAGGTACCGTACCCCTTGCCGCTGCCCTTACTCTTGCAAATTTCGTCATATTCCGCTGTGCAACTGTGCTCCTCGGGAAACCCGACACCCGCAAGCTTTGGGGATCGTCTTTCCCAAGCCACGTGTTGTCACAGGTGTTTTCTCATTCGTTGAATTTGATAGAGCGAAAGAGAGAGAGAGAGAGAGAGAGAGAGAG